TGTGAATATATATATATATATATATATATATATATATATATATAAAAGTAAGATTGAGTCATTATAGAGCCTCTTAATTTGTTCGATGAACATGATAGATATAAGATGGCCATGCATCCACACACTCAATTCATGGAAATAAAGGAAAAACAGGATCGATGTCGGCAGAATTAATGCTGATGAGGTTATATTTAAACATGTTGAATGTATAGAACGTAAAATCCAATAAAGATAAAAGGCAGTATCATTCTTTTACATCAAATAATGTACAAAATGCAAAGCATTCAGAATGATGTAAATGCTTGGATACAGCACGGTGTATATGGTAGTAGAAATACCAGTTGATACACTCATCCAATACAATTACCAACTCCACCTTGGATGCATGTGTTGAAGTAATAGGTTCCCTCGTGGCTCGATCCCACGAAATTAAGCTGAAGCAATCAGTTGTTGGGGTCCAAATCAAAGTCTTTCAAACCTTATATTAAGTTACATATTTCTACATTAATTACGCTCATTGAAGAGCTCAATGGAGAGCCTCGTTTCGGAAGCTGCCGAGACATGCGAACGCTTCAAAATGACGGCACGACGCCATAGTCGTCCTCCGCCATGAGGGCCGCCACCGCCTCCGCGGCCGATGAGTAGATCCGGCCGACTTCCGCCTCCACCTCCACCCTCTTCGCGAACCGCCCCTTGATCCTTGGCCGCGCCTCCGCGTAGGCCTTCCTCGACGCGTACCTTATCGTCTTCTCGAACCTCCGGCACTTCCGCTTCTCCCGGTACCTCATCAGCCTCGCCTCCCGGTCCGCCTGTGCTGCTGCCGGATCACACGGTATCCCCACCACCGACGCCTGCGACACCTCCGGCACCAGCGCCGCCTCGGACGACGACACCTGCGCGGTTCCACAGGGGAAAACTATGAGAAAGAGGCAAGGATCTATTACAACGTTTATGGGATTAGCTGGACGTGAATTGCTGAGGTGAAGAATACGCTGTGGCATAACGACTGATCCGATTCTGGTTTGGATCCGGCGATATTGAGATCGAAATAGCCACCATCCGACGCGAGGAGGGACGGCGGATCCGGTTCGGCGACGGTCTTGATAGCGTCTAACGGTAAGCCGTAGTCGAGATCAAGATAGGCATCAGCGTCAGAGAAGAAGAACTCCGCGGCCGACCGGAGCACCGGGGCCTCCTGAGGAAGGAGGGAGGAGGCGGCCTCGGCTTCTGCTTCATCGTCGGAGGAGGATCGGAAGAGGAAGGATCCCTCGCCCCCACGTCCGGTGGCAGCGGCTGTGATCAGGGGCTTGGGGGCGGGACCGAGGAAGGGGAGCAGTGGGAGGCGCTCGTGGCGGCGGGCGAGGGGGTTGGCTGAGTGGATGTCGGCGTCGCAGGCGGCGCAGAGGGCGGCGGCGTCGGCCTTGCAGGTGACGGCGGCGGGGGCGTTCTCGCAGACCTCGCACAGCCAGGCGCGCTCGTGGCTAGAGGCGAGGCCGTTGGCGCCGTGCACTTGCCCGTCGCAGCCGCGGCAGAGGTAGGCTGCGTCGGCGCGACAGTAGAGGAGGGCGGGCGTCGAGCGGCACGAGTCGCAGGGCTTTGACGCCACTCCCAGGGAGGCGCCCTTCTTCTTCACCTCACCCGCCATGGATCTCTCTCTCTCTCTCTCTCTGGCATTGATACCTTTAGATTATTATTCTGGGGGATTTAAAGATCTTCATAATTTCCTATTGGCTGTTGCTCTATCTTCTTAGGGGTTCAGAGGGGAAAGATATGCTACTGGCCGTCGAACACGTGGTGTATTATGGTCCAGTATAATTCATTTCATTTTTCCTCTTAGTACATTTATTTTAATTAGTTTCCTGTTACGAAAATGTAAAATATTTTCGGAAAATTCCAAAAAAGAAAAACCCTTATCTTTGAAATTTTTTCTTAAAGTACCCTAACCTTCAAAAATTTGTATTACTTTTTTTCATGAATTATAATTTTACCTGTAGTCGCTCCTCTCTCCTTTGTCCCATTCGACCTCATTGAACCTGTCTCAACCTACCTCGCCCTTGTGCAAGGAAGGAGGAGTCACGAATATAGCGATGGCCCTCACCATCCTTGCCCGCAGCCCTTGTACGAGAAAGGAGGGGGTACAAGAGCCAATACCATCTCCACTACCCCCATCAGACTCGACCCTATGCATCTCGCTCTCATCATGCTTGCTTGTGGCTCTCACGCGACCAAGGAGGTGGCACAGAGACAATGATGGGTTAAATCGAAACTAGTGAGATCTGTGGAGGTGACGACGGCCCTCAAGCCTCCTTCCTCGCAGAAGGGTGAGGCAGGTTCGACGGGGTCAATGGAGACTGCATAGGGGCGGGGCGACATAGGGCAAAGGCGATAATGGGTTTGACGGAGATTGGAATAAAATAATCACTTCATGCAAGGAGGAGTACTCTACAAAATTTTTTGAAAGATGGGATACTCCATGAGAATTTCTTAAAAAATATTTTTCTGAGAATTTACCCAAACATTTTCTCATAATAATAGTTTGTATATATATATATATATATGTATATATATATATGTATATATTTATATATATGTATATATATATATGTATGTATATATATGTATATATATATGTATATATATGTACATATACATATATATATACATATATATACATACATATATATATATATATACATACATATATATATATATACATACATATATATATATATTTATATATATGGGGGAATGAAAAATGAGCAATTGTCGGCTCTTATTAGTAAGCATTGGCGGCACAATCAGCATCCAAAAAGTCACAGCGGCACACGACATCACCGTTTACTATTCTACGACGACCGAATGGCTCCAAGAGACTTCCGAGATTGTGTGGACTTTGATCGTCATGATTCGGTGCAATATATCTATTGGTTCAACAGCTGAGACAATGGATCTTTAAATATGGGATCCAGAATGCTTAATTCATGATTTATGTGTTTCACAAAGTAGCATCGTGATACAGTCTAATAGGTTTACGACGACCCTAATAATCTACTACATTATCCAAAAAAAAAAAATCGGTGTTCGAGTTATCGGTGGTTAGTATGTTTGTCTTTGAATACTATTATTCTTGTCATTTTTTATATGAGATTGTTCATGAGTTCAATACTATCATAAAGGCTCATCCTCTTATTTAACATCTGAATATTCTTCTTAATATAAACGGCATGTTTTTTTATTGATTTACGTTAGAAATTTAAATGGTTTAGATATTCTTAAGACACTTCTAACAGTTCCATCATTCATCCTTGGTGTGTTTCGCTTGCTGTTATTATGGCTAGTTTCGTCTTTATAGGATGATTGATATGTGACACACTTCAAGATATGGTAATGTAAAATTTGTGCCCTAGAGAACAGCTCTAGTGAGACAGTCGTTCAGCCTATGGTCAAAATAGTATATGTTGACGCTAGGTTGGTTTTATTGAAAGATAAGAAATTGAAGGAATAGAGAAAATACTAAATAAATGAGGTGAATTTTGAAAACAATGTTTGGTACTTAATTTGAGCCATGTTAAAATTTAGAGGCTCATATCTGACTTTTGTTGGAAAGAGAGATAAAATCGAAATCTAACTTGAAATAATAAAACCAAAGATAAAAAAATAACAAGAAGAGTGACATCAAGATTTAATATGATAAAACCCTCAATTACTCGAGGGAAACATCTACAGACAACCTAAAAGAATTTCACTCTAAATAAATAAATAAAAAGTATAATCCTCTCTCTCTCTCTCTCTCTCTAATACAAGGTGAAGCATAATACATTCTCTTTTGTAATGAGAGAAAAATATGATAAAATTCATAAATTATAATTGAGGAGTAACGAAATTGATGAAAAATAATAATTTCCTTCTTTCTTTCTCTCTCTTTCTTTTTTTTTTCTCTCTTGTTCAGGATAGCTTTCTTTGTTGTGATTTGATGTCTTGTATAGGCACCAATCATGTATGAGGGGAATTCATGCACGCATTAGTCACGTAAGAGATTGGAGTCGCGTGGGAGTTTGCAACCTCCCACATCGTGTGGGTGGCTTCTGCAAGCACCCAATCGCACGAGATGTTGTTGCAACACACACACACACACACACATTTTCTCTCTCTCTCTCTCTCTCTCTCTCTCCTTTTTCAATTTCCTATTTAAAATAAAAATAGAACTTTATCCTTGCTTGTGAATGTATGTTGTTTCCTCTTCACAAGGCTATAAGAAGATTTACTCAATATATACTTGTTATTGTTGATTGGCTTTGATATAACATCAGTTAGGTTATTCATTGTGCCAATCTTACGTCATAATACTTATTATTTCTCGATTGAAGTGATATTAGACTTTTATGTGTTTTGTTCTATAATGGAAGGTGATATCTTACAATATGCAAAGTAGTCTCACAGTCACAATACAAGGGAATATTTTTTACTTATTTTTGAATTTCTCTATCAACCTTCTAATCCAAATTGTCTTCTTGCAGGCTACTATGCGTTCTACTTTTGTAGTAAATATAGCTGCAATAGTCTGTAGCTTTAAAACCTAGCTCGCTACTCCTACAAGTGTAAAGACCTAACTTGTACTGGATTTTCTTTATCAAAATCAGCATATCCTTTAAGAGTAAAATCTGATGCTCAGATATATCTCAAAATTCTTTTTATTGTATTCTAGTGCTCTCTCTCTCTTAAAATTTGTCATGAACCAACTCATCATAGTAACTGCATGTATAATATCTAGTCTAATACATATTATAACAAACATTAAGTTGCATGACACTTGAGACATTTTCATTCTCTCTGCTTCATTCCAAGGGCACGTACTTGAGGACAATTTAAAATTGATAAGAAGTGTGATAGAGATTAACTTACAATCTTGCATATTGAAGTGTCACAATAATTTTTCTCAAGTGATTCTTTTGAGATAGTCATATCTTTCTATCTTAATAGTCACGATGATTTTGTATCCCGAGAATTTTATATGTTGATCCCAAGTCTCTGATGTTGAACTCCCTAGTTAATTATGCCTTTAATTCTTTGAATTAATCTTTACTTAGGCCTATCAACAACATATTGTCAACTATAATAGCAAGATAATAAAATTATCATCGTTAAACCTCTTATAGTAAACCCAATAGTCTATATTGAGTCAACTATATTCAAGGCTACCAATGAAGGAATCAAATCTCTAATACTAACACCTTAGCACATATTTAAGTCATACACAGATTTGTTTAACCTGCAAATTAACTTCTTATTTTCTTTCTCAACAAAACACTCTGATTGGAATATATAGAATTTTTCTTTAAGTTCATCATTAAGAAATTCAATTTTCATATTTAACAATTGTAAATGTAAGTCAAATGTAGTATACAAAGTTAGAACGATTAGTAGTCGACCAACATGAGAAAATATTTTATTAAAGTCGATACATTCTTTCTTAGCATATCTTTTCACCATTAGTCGTGCACAATACTACTCCACTTGATCACTACTCTACTTGATCTTGTAGCTTCAATTTCTTTATGCATTATTATCATCCACAAAGATGCATTTCGACTACAAATAACCTCTCAGAAAATTTGATGGCTCTCTTTCCTTTGTTAGAAGATAGTATGTAACATTTTTCTCCAAAATATACTTCTTATGTCAAGTTGGTGGTACCATCAAATGCATACGTTTTTAGATATTTTATAAAGATAATATCCATATTGATGACTATTTTATGGTCAATGGGATCCCACAAGTGATATCCCTAAATTTTATCAATAAGTCCAAGAATATATATTTTCTAGATTTATCCAGCTTTATTGTTTTCTGGGCATTATACATTGCATATGTAGGACAACCAAATATATTTAGAGAAAAATAATTAGTTGTCTTACCAGTCCACATCTCCACTTTAATTCAATCACAGATAAGACAGACTAATTAATAGTGTGATAGGCGGTTTATACTTCTTGTGCCCAGTGACTTGGCCAGATCTATGGTATCTAGTATTGCTCTAGTCCTCTCCAAAAATGCTCTGTTGATCTGCTCTACTACATCATTATGTTAAGGACAATCATCATAATCTCATTCTCAATATAGGTCTTGTAACTAGGCTATAGCAAATTGTTCTTCGAGCCTTTGACATATTATACCCCTTAAATAGTGTGAACCATACCATCATATATTTTTGTCTTGATAATATTAAAGTTGGTAATCTTTAAGGTATGATTATTATCCAAAAAAAATAGATTCTTCTAAAACAAGTTGATATCGATGGAATCATTCTCTCTTGGAGATCATGTTCCGAGATGCTATCAAATATACTTGCTAGACAAGCTCTTTTTTTCCTTCTAAAATTGTTGTTACCTCATTTTAAAACATTTCGCCTTCACTTCAATACTAACTATGCAACTTTGAAAATCTTTTGAATTAGTTATTTTCTTTGTTATCTATATTCTTCTTTGACACTCCTTAATGTGCCCTATCTTACCATAGTTGTAGCACTTGACATATTTCTTTCTTCTAGACTTTGATATACTTTATCTTTTGCTCTCACTTAAGCCATGTTGCATTGATTATCCTCTTATAACAAATAATATCTATTTTCCTCTTCTAGAACTACAACTATAATAGCATCAAAAACTAAATTGGTTGTGTTGTTGATCAT